CTCCTCCTGGCTTAACAATGGCCATTGCTGGGTACAGGTTTTAATCTTTCATTAAACATTTGCATACCTCCCAAATGTAACGTATATGCCGAGTTGCCTTGTTTAACCCACGTATGACACGCTATGTGCGTTTTGTGAATGTACTTCCTTATACTGTCAGTACAGAATGTAGCACATCCAGTGGCATGACTCAACTACATCTGTATATATCCATCTTCCTGACAGAGCTGGCAAAATCAATTCCTATCTCACATGGAATGGCACCAGACATCCTAAATACCAGGCATAGCGGGGTGATGACAAAATATACAAGTTTTTTTTTTAGAATGTCACTCCATTCTCCTGACAAGGCAAAATCAATTACATTCTCAAATGTAGACCATTTGCCAGATATCTAATGCACCAAGCCTATGTGCATTTGATTTACCAAACCTGACAAAGATATATAATGTTTTATTAAGTGTCCTTGACTGAATAATACATCCAGGGTAGCATGGCTCAACCACACTTATGTATGTATCCACCCTCCTCTACAGCCCAGAAAGAGACAGTGATTCGTAACAATGAAACCTACATAAATGTACCTGACGAGCATTGGATCAGATATTATTTGAGTAATGTAACCCTGGAAACAGATAGAGATTTAACACGTTTTCCCATTGTATTCAAGAAAAGACTGCTTTAGAGATTGCTGCCAAAAGATGTAATGTGTTTCATGTTCAGGGACACTGACTTGCTGAAATCACAGAGGGGATTACACTGAGATCAATGAATGTACTGATGACTGACAGTTTTTAAAACACCCGGTCAGTGTTCTGCTGTATCATGTAGGACCTGGAGAGATCCTGACATCTTTTCTGGAGGGATGACAGTCACGGCGTCAGTCAAGGTGCTTCATGATGCCCTGTGGACTCAAAGATACATGAGTTTAAAGTCTGTAATAACATTGGCGGAATGAATAACAAATGTAAGCGTATGTGGTGACTACTGTATTCATTTACATGTAACACGATACCGACATCATGGAAGTGGCTACGATTTGTCTTCCTTCAAATGCACTTCCCAAGTCTTGAATTGCCTGGCTCTATTTAGCTGCCTGGTGGATGTTCGGGTGGAAGATAGCTAGCGCATGAAATGCATGTGTATCTGTTTTATTTTAAATATATACCAGCATATTGCTCAGATCTAAGTTTTCAACGCTACTTACCGTAGACAACATGCAAGATCCTGATGGTGAGACAGGTGAGACAGATTGAGTTTGATATTACAGGTGTAGCAGGTGGGAGACCAGGTAAGATCAGGTGGGGAGATAGCTGGAGTACTGTCGAGGGAATGGAGATAAAAAACCAGAGGTTGAGTAAGTTTATGCCAAAATGATAACATGCGCTGGAATTATTTAGCTATCTTATACAAAGCAAGGGTTCACCAGTACACCATAGATGATAAAATTTGAGCAGGTTAGATTTACGAAGTCCAGCCGCCATTTTAAGAAATTTGAAATGTAGACTGCATTTCAATCACTCTTAAATTTTCATTATCCCCAAATTTCACGAACCATACGTTAAAATCAGTAGAGATCATCGTATCAAAAGCAGATATAAGAGACAGTCAAGAGTGGAAAATTTATGTTGCGTGATCTCTTAAAGGCTGTAGATAGCCTGTGTTGCGTCATTCTCTTCCCACAGAGGTTACTTGCCATATCGTCCTACGAACCTCTGTTCTAATACGGCCATATTTCCCGGTTCTCGTACAAAGTCCCTAGCGGCAAAAGATCGCAACACGAATTACCTCCCTTGCTTTCTATCCAATCAGAGACACGTGTTACATCGACTTAGATTCAACTTGACTACTTACAAGCAAATGTGGGGTCTGAAGTATCCCCATCTGCCGGGGACTTGTGTTGATGTTACACACAAGACGTTTAATGGCTAAGCTTGTCCGTTGTCAACGAGGGCGATGGAGACGCCACTGATCCGCCATAACATGACTGAGTTCTGTCTAGAAGAAACGTTTGCGCATCGCGCAGGGGAAGAGTTTAGTTTTCTTGAAGCATGCGGAAATTACCGAGAGCCTTGCGAATGATCACTTTTGAAACAACAACGTCGCTGATTGCACAGCTAAAATCTGATTGCCTCCAATCAAAGAGTCTTTGAAGAGCTCACACCATGAAAGGGCCGTATCAGAACCAGAGGTACGTAGGAAGATATAACAGGAGTAACCTCTGTGGGAAAGAATAGTGTTGCGTTTGCAACAATGGATTCAATATATGTAACTGCTACTTGTGCTTCGATGAAGTTTTTACGATGGCTGATTTAAAGCTTTCTATGGGTATCATACGCATTTACATATCTCAACAAACTTTATGAAATATAGACACGTAAGATGTTAATCAATGAAACATATTCATCACACATGAAAAAAGCATTAACATATCTTTGGGATGACCCCTTGTGCCTATAGGCAGATCATGCATTTCATACCAGGTGAGTCGACGGTCCGTCGTCATAGCTGGTTGAGGGACCTAATTGCCATCTATACTCGATCTATTGTTTACAGCAACTATTCGTATTTTTTCTAAGTTTTGTCGGATTTTATGAGTAAACATGATTTTCTGCATATCCTATTACGCATCCCACTGAACGCCCGGATTAGACCGATGTGGGATATTTCCACATACTACTATTTGCAGTTATTTACGCAGAGTAACAGACTAAAACATTTTTCTCCTATTTCCCGTCAGTACTTTAGATTGTTAATTAGAATTGGCAACACCTGAACAATTAGACAGTCCACTGTCTTGTGAACAGGCGGGCAGAGTGAGCCTGAAACAGAGGTTCGTTACTGAGAAGTTTGATTATGTGTATCTTGAACTTTGTTGTGATTAAATGATATCAGTCTTCTCTTCTAGAAATTGTTTTGCCATGTAAGATGAAAGTTAATAGCAATCAGTGTTCTATATCTAAGGATATTTTCTAAAGACTTTAACAGTTCATGTCTTTGAATAGTATACAATAGACTTTCAAAGTAATGAATAACATTCTCACATCCATGGCCACACTGACATGATGCGTCATTTTTTACATTTATTCTAAATATACCATAATTAAAGTGTATTCTTGTGTGCCAAAACATTTTTACATCCCTTATTCCATATGAATAATATTTAGTTACACTTGTCTTTCACGTGGATATAAGATTTAAATGATGCAACAGAGTCGCAAGTTATAATAGCTAAGGGAATATTTTTTACATTCTAACTGCTGATGGAATAAGAGATGACGTTGAGTGCCTCAGTCTTGAACATGGTTGGCTAAATCATCGGAGATTCGTAACTCATAACTTCTCCGGTTGCCTACTAAATGTGGTAAATGCTGAAGAAAGCTGGGCAAGACCTTCTTGAAATATATGGGAATAATATTAAACGCCTCTTCTCTCACAATGTATGTATATATCAGTGTTTTATTTAAAATATACAAAATAATTTGCTCAGATCGGAAGTTTAAAATTACTTACCATAGACAACATGCATATGCTGATGGTGTGAGCTTGACGTTACAGGTGTAGCAGGTGGGAAGACAGGTGTGATCTACTGCTGTAGCAATGGTACCTGTACAAGGGATGAGAATCACATATACCTGGGCCGACTAACAAATATGCAAACAGTGAGAAAAACATGAATGACAGTGTATATTCCTTATGATATTAAATGTAAGTAGCGCCCAACAAACAGATTCTGCGGGTATTTGAATTATTATGAAGAGCATGTATGAATGGCTTTGCCTGCAAATTTGTGCAATCTCTGTACCAAAGGCAGAAGATGCTTGGATAGTGTCCGATATAAAGGGAAAGTTGACTATTTGAAAGATGAAGTCATTCTTCTTGTCAGAAGTCTGGGACAGGTTTATGAATATATATGAATCGAAATATAGAACACCCGAGGCTGTTTCAAAGTTCACCTTTCCAGTGGTAGACTATAGGCAATTTGATCGGGTTTTGTAGATAAGATGATGGGGGGCGGTGGGGTAGCCTAGTGGTTAAAAGCGTCCGCTCGTCACGCCGAAGACCCGGGTTCGATTCCCACATGGGCACAATGTGTTAAGCCCATTTCTGGTGTCCCCGCCGTGATATTGCTGAAAGCGGCGTAAACTAAACTCAGTCAGTCAGATAAGATGATGGAAAGAATTGTAAATTTGGGAGACAAATACCTAAACAGAAAGAGCTACAATTTCGAAACATTATTGCATGTATTGCTTGAAATTCACCTTCTGGAGACATCCATGCTAGAGATCTGCTGTTTGACATAATCTGGCTGCAGTCACATGACTAGGTCCATGTTTGTTGTCGTCACAGATATGGACGTAGATATTAGTGGTTGGCAGACATCAGGAAGTCTGTCAAAGTGGTTGGCCAAGATCTGGATTTGAACCATCTCTAGGTGGTTGATGCCTTGAGACTGTCCATTTTGGTAGATTGGGGACTGTTTCGCATATTGCATTCCTTGAGACAGTATTTGACATAAGTGGATCCGAGAGGTAAGATGAACAAAGCACTTCGTGATACCAGACATATGACCACATGATTAGGAACATACTTCATCATCTATATTCCCAGCATCAAGGATAAGTAAAATACTACGATAAACCGAGCAACATAATACAGTTCAAAATGTAACCGAAATATCGGTATGATCTGACATTCTAATTGCAATGGTATTGAATCTCCTGTTGGCAGTTGCCTTTAAAACTGCTCACCAAATACAACCAGCCGAGAGATGCTTACGGATACCATCGAGTCATCGTTCAACTAAAAGGTGTTAGCAGGGATTTCATGTAGGAGTGTGAGCCATGAAACATGAAACACCCCTCAACAACTCAAAGCTGCCCGGTCGTCAGTAGGTACACGATACACCATCAAAGAGTTGGGCGATTTGGTTGAACAAATAATCCTAAAGAGTCCTCTTGGTTATGAAAACAGAAGTGGAGATTGGGCTCACATCTTAATCGGATACTGTGATCGTGGAAATCATTATATAATAGTATATGAAGTGGTATGGATCCCTGCACATGGTGCGGTGTAAATGGTAGAGGTAAAGAAGCTTTGGACTCTCAATGCACCTGGGGAGAAAACGATAACATTTTATTTAGGACTAGAATAATTATAAAGCTCTTCTTAAAGATGATGGAAACTTGTTTTGATATTCGTCTGAGAATTGAAAATTGAAGCCATCAGCCTTCTTGCATACACTCTGGTATAGGTTTTTTAAATATATACACACGAATCAAATACGAAATATCCGAGGCTGATTCAGATTGCGAGATAGTTTCTAAATTTTGCTAGCTAGTCGGAACTACCTATGCCTGAAAGTTACTTGCCCACAAAATAATTCACTAGCACGAAATTTAATTGTAGACACATGTTTCATCATTAAGCTGCTAATATGATGAACATTAAACGTGCATTACGACTGAACAAGTCGGAGAGTGATATATTAACAAAATGACCATATGAAAATTCACTAGCCAATCGGGTCAGTGACTCTGGAGTTACTGGCCCGACAGGATTTACTAGCAACGGGCTAGCGCGCCATTGGCTATTTCGCATAGTGGGCTGATTCAATGATTGCTCTTTCATTGGTAGGGTATAGGCCATTTGGCAGGGTCATTTGTAGATTAGATCATGAAATGAATGCTCACCTTCGAGAATCAGACATCCATGCTTGAGACCTGATGTTTGACAGCATCTGGCCGAGTTACAGGACTATGTCCATGTTTGTAGTCCTCTAAGGTCTGCACGTACACCTTAGCCTTTGGCAGATATCGGAATGAGTGTCTCAGTGATTGGCCGAGATCTGGAGTTTCATCACGCAGTGAGTGAGGCATCTCTGGCCGATATCCTAGACACTGTCCGGTTTTGTTAGGCCCAGGGCTGTGTGTCCACTTATTGCATCTGATGGGACAGTGTTCGACAGACGTGGATCCGATAAGACAGGTAAAATAAGCAACGCACTTCATGATACCAACCACATGACCGCACATGATTAGGATACTCCATCCTCTACGCTTAGTATACGGATAAGTAAAATACTACATTAAAGCTGAACCATGATACAGTTCAAATGTAAACAGAAATATCAATATGATCTGACATTCTCGTGGCAATGGTATTGAATGTTGACAGTTGTCGTTCAAAGTATTCACCAAATACAGCCAACTTGAGACAATGCGTACGGATACCACCAAGTCATCGTTCAACTAGAAGGTGTTAGCGGGTCTTTCATGTAGGAGTGTGAGCCATGAAACATGAAACACCCCTCAACATCTCAAAGCTGCCCGGTTATCAGTAGGTACACGATACACCATCAACGAGGTCGTTATGTGAAAGGAAGCGGTGATTACTCCAATAAATTCGCATCCTAATTGGATGGCATGATCGTGGGAATTATTATAGAGTATACGAAGCTGTAATATTCCTGCACATGTACGGTGTAAATGGCGGAGGTATTGAAGCTCTGGACTCGCAACACGCCTGAGGAGAAAAAAGATAGTATTTTGTTAGGATAAGAATAATTGTTAAGATCTTGTTAGAGATGATAAATTAACTTGTAATGTTCCTTAATGATGGTTTTGATATTCAGAGGGAAATAGTTTTGTGAAAGCGAACCCAAAAAAGTGCAAGACAACTGCACAGTCAAATAAAATAATCTGCAGTCAGGAAATGATTCTCAAAAGTTTCGAGTGGTTTGATTGTCATTACTGCGCATACCTGAAGGAAACAGGAGGATGCTCGCTTGCAGTCATGGAGGGACTGATGGCAGCATGTGGTTGATTACTGGGATTACTGGGGTGATGGATGCCAACTGAGGATGACAAGTTAGGTGGCTGACGGTAGAAGACTGCTACGGGTGGTGACTGATGATTGACCGAGACACCTAACGTTGTCTATTTCTGTTATGTGATAATGACATCTGAAGAAAGAAAGGCTCGGTTGAAATGCGGAAGGAGAAACATGTAAGCATTGTTACGTCATAGTCAACATTGTAGTTGTTACTGCATATGTCATATACCAAAAGCGAATGCAAGAGCTCATTAATATCAATTAGTTAAAACATGCATGGCATTCAACTTACACGCCTCCCCCCAACGCCCCTGGACGACACCGGCCGGTTTCTGTACTCTTTCCCTCCTACAAGGAAACGAGCAATACTTAGACCCTTTCTACGATCCAAGCAGTATGGTACATTTACCCGTTGGATCCACATGGATTCATAGATTCAGCAACGACATCCACACTTGTGGTACATGAACAAAATACGAGACGTCGTATGGGGATGCTACGGGAAACATTGGCAGAATCATTCTCCAAAGTCAGGTAAGAAATCTCACTAAGGTACTCTGGGGCTAACTGAGAATAAGCGTCAGGACCTCAGCCGTGTCTGAGTGCGAAGCTGAAGACTAATTCAGCTATCGAGAATGCATGCGTCTCAATGTTAGTGGAAACCAAGCTGCCAGTGGTGTATGATCAACTGGAATAGCATACTCACTGCTGGAAGAGGTTGAGTCGTCACATCCATATTCACCGGTGATGCTGCCGAGTGCTGAGGTTGTTGCTGTGGCCATACTCGTTACGGTTGCCATTGGTGCTGCTGCTATAACAGTTGCCGTTCGAGCTGTCACAGCTGCGGTCAGTGTTGTTTCAGCCTGGAAAAGAAATGTAAACGTAATGCATATGGGGTGACTTAAGTACGTTTCAAAATAGTGAACATTCACACACTGTCGATTCAACACTATGAAACAATATGACGAATCAATACCAGACATGTTGTATTTTCAATGATCATTACAACCGTTATTAAATGATATATTGCACTTTCAATGATATTTACACAACCATTACTATACATATAATCAATGATGTTACAACTATTGTCGACCAATACTATATACGTCTTATCCTCAGTGATATAACGTATGGTTTGATAATGAAGAAAGTCTTGACTGAGCACACCTGAGGTGAAATATACTTCTTTTCAAAAGTTTAGACTCACTAGTGTAAATATAGCCACTTACTTCAGGCAACTTTCTAAACTGATTTTTGATAAATATTTCACACTGTTTAAAGGTACTGTTTACACATGAATTGATGTATTGTAAAACAAATTCGTAAAGATTATCGTCATAATTAGTGAAAACTCGCGAATTCTGAACAAAACGTTACACCAAAACGCAGCTTTTAACATGTACGATATTTGCACATACGTTGCAGCAATTTGATGCAGGGTCCTCGATGCAATTCATGTGCATAAGGTTTGCAGTTGGTTTCCCCAAGTTAGTGGAAAAATCAATCTTGGATGTAACCATATATATTTACATAACATATAATGAATGTTTGAAGTGAGTCTAAACTCTTGAAAGGAAGTATTCAGAATCACTGTACATAAAGCCTTTGTTAAAGATGAGTTAACTTGTATGTTCCCAAATACATGGTTTTGATATGGGACGCCTAGAGCATTTTTCAACCGTGAATAAAAAATAGTTCAAGGCAGTGCAGCGACCATGGTAAATGATGAAATCATCTGCACTCAGGAAATGTTTCTTAAAAGTTTTAAATGGTTTGATGAGTATACTGGAGAGCTAGAGAAGGATGGCGTTGTAGTCAGTGGCCATTGGGGGACTGATGGCAGCGTTAAGGTTGATAACTGGGATTACCGACTGAGAATGCCAATTTCGGGGACTGGCTGAGGAGGCTGGGTGTCGATGACAGCTATAGATGACAACCTGGATGATGGAGACATTGGACCGCTGGCGAGACACAAAGAATGAGACCTCTAACCTTGTCTTTGTCTCATGCAGATCCGTTGTTGTACGGTAATGACATCTGAAGAAAGAAGGTGAAAGCATCTTAAACATCGTAGTCACCATCATAGGTGTTACTTCATATGGTATATACACAATGCAAAGGTGAGAAGCCATTTCTATCAAGGTTAGAAACAAATGGAGTTCAACTTACTGGTCACTCCTCCTCCTAACGCCACCTGGACGACCCCGGCTGGCTTCCGTATTCGGCCCCTTGTCTACAAGGAAACAATTCTTAGACATTATCTCCAGTCCATGGGTCACAGTAACTTTTACCGTTGGATCTACTTAACATGTTGGTGTACTCCTACTTAACGTGAGCATTTTCAGTTTCATCAGGGGTGTCAGAGTGAGGATAAATGAACGCCTTGAATTTGTTGATCTGCGTCTCCAGGAAACTTACTAAAGACTACTAACACAAGGAACATTTTGACGCTTAACTGAGACTAGTTAAGGCCCAAGCGCGACAATGGTAAGATTGTTTCATCAACAGATTTGAAGATGATTGGTAATTAGAGTGAATAGTCTTGTGCTGCAGTCAACAAGGTCTATTTTAATTGATAAGATGAGCAACGACCTGCACCCTCGTGGTACACTACAAAATGGCCGTATGGGCTCTTACAACCAGCATGATCAGTTTGGGAACGTTGAAAACCAGCAATCGTCATTCTCAAAGTCAGGTAAGATGTCTCACCGAAGTCCTCTTCTCCTCATCGAAAACACGTAGCAGCTCCTCGTAGGGAGTTTCTTGATGCTGTCTGTGCTGCTGCTGCTGCTGTCGGTGCAGCTGCAGCCGCTGCCTCTGGAAACGGGGCTGATGCTGCTGTTGGAGCTGTTGCTGACGGTGCTGCTGCCGCTGCAGGCAGGGCTGCTGCTGTCGGGGTTGTTGCTGCTGTCTGGCATGCTGGTGCTGTTGGTGCTGCTGCTGCAAACGGGCTGCTGCTGCTGCTGTCGGGGCTGTTGCTGCTGTTGTTGTCGGCGCTGTTGTTGAAGCTGAAATCGTTGTTCCTGTTGGTGCTGCTGTTGCCTTTGAAGTTGTTGCCTTACTTCCCTTTGCCTATATCTAGCATGGCGTCTCTGTCTTGCTTCATCAGCTGTCTGAGCCTGAATGAAACAAAAACATGAAAAGGATTCATGAACGGTTGTTAAAGTTATGAAATTCATTAATGTAGAACTACTTCAATATACCGATGTGAAATGGGTTCAGAATACTTTGAGTAGAGAGCAATGTAGAGAAGAATGTCAAGCAGTTCTTCTTGATCAGTTAGAACACAGTCATGAAATACTCCTGAGCGAAATAAGAATATATAAACTGCTGCTTACATTCTTCAGATATATTTGACAGTGCAGAAAACAATTTGCTTCTGGGAACCTAATCTGATGTTGAAGTAGAACTCGTATTGAAGAATAACGTGTGGACGGACGGACAAGACACTAAATCTGTTCAAGTCAAAGACTTTCAGCTATTGAGGATGCATGCCTCTCAATGCAAGTGAACCAAACTCCCAGTGATGAACTCCAATAGCATACTCACTGCTGTAAGAGTTTGTGTCGCCACATTCATAGTCACTGGAGCTGCTGTGGTTGTTGCTGTGGCCAATGTAACTGCTGATGGTGCTGCTGCTGGTGCTGCTAGTGGAGCTGCTGATAGGGCTGTCGATGGTGCTGCTAGTGGAGTGGCGAACGGAGCTGCTGATGGCGCTTGTAATGAAGCTGACGATGAGGCTGCTGATGGTGCTGCTGGTGGTGCTGTCGATGGAGCTGGTAACTGAAGCTGACGATGAGGGCTGCTGATGGGTACTGCCGATTGCAGATGGAGCTGATGATGGGACTGTTGATGGAGCTGCTGCTGTCGGTGCTGTGTCCCGCTGCACAAACAAACGTAACAACTTTGGGTGACTAACGTACGTGTCCATATAGAGCGCATTCACGCTCCCATATTCAATCCTATGAAACAATTTGATGAATCAATACCAGATTTGTTGTATTTTCAATGATATTTACAACCGTTATAAATTATACTTGATTTGCACTGCATATTACACAACCATCGCTGTACACATAAAAAATATAATCAATGACATTGCAACTGTCATGCTCTGATACTATAATTGTCTTATTTTCGATGATATTACAACTTCTATGAACCAAATATACGTTTACCATACTTTCAATGACATTATATCTCTTGAGGGTATGATACAAAACACTGCAAAACACAGCCACACTGCAAAACACTTCGACATTGAATACATGCCATAAATTTCGTTTATCAGCCATTACGTTGCCAGCTCTACAAATATATGCACCCGAATGAAAGCACCAGATTTTGTGGTTTCTTTTGTTGTACTTTTGATGTAATGTAACCATGTGCTGTCCGTGTTATCGACAGTGTGCCTTGCCTTGCAATGCCTGTATGCAAATACCGAACTGCCAGCGAAAGACTTCTGCCCGCATCTCCCTTAAATTTCATTCTAGTCAAATCATATCATCTGAATATACATGTATATGCCTCATCTGATAAGGAAGAGTTTTAACACGTTTCTACAATTGTATCTAAAAATACTCAAAGTCACATCCAACTTTTTTAAAAAATGCCACTCTAAGAATGTTTTCCTAATCGTTGAAATTTAGTCTCACCAATTGATGTATATTCCGAAGTTCTTCCCAAATCGGAAGGTTCATGTTCTGTCAAATTATATATTTGACCTCTGAGAGTATGTTAAACATCAAAATACACAAGTCCTACGATCAAGAGGTGATGTGCGGAGCTCATCGCTCATCACATGGATGACGCCCCGGGTTTGATTATCGATATGTTCAACGCCTCCACGCAAGAACATCATGTCGTGCAACGTATATACTGTTAAACGCTGTGCCACAACTACACTATGTAAAATCATTTGACTTACCATTCCCTTTAGACGCCTGATTTCATCTTTCAACCTTCTATTTGCCTCAGGAGTCTTCTCAACTCGGCTGCATCGTTAGCCTGAGGCAAAAGACATCTCAGACAGGTCAGAGACATGCACGTCAATAAAATGATACATACGCTTGATCTTAATACATTTCTTTTACCTCTTTTAGCACCATCTTACTTATCACCTGATGGACTTCACATATTGTGCCATATAGACGGACCATATAATGATATAGTGTATAAATATCATCATACATTGCAACCAATCAGAAGTGAGTAAGTTATTTTTCCAGGGGCGGATACAGCTTTTGGGAAAGGTGTGTGTGTGTGTGAGAGAGTTGGGGGCACTCTTCATTTTATGAGAGTTTCAATGGTTACTTATTAAACGTACATGACACCCCTGCACCATCACCCTCCACCTCTCTGGATCCCCTATGGTTACATACCGCCTTCACTAATTGTTGTATTACGTCAGTAAATATCCGCTTATATGGTGCCTGCACATCACTTACTTATAGATGGATGAATTTTTTGGACGGAACTCTTACCATACTTTCTTAATAAATAGAATAAGATTGCTTGTTGGTTTTTTCACATCTTAGAAATAGTTATGGAGGACATGGATGCAATCAGCATGCATGTCACGTTGAACGTGATTAAGTAGATTTAGTGGTATAAGGAAGGATCGGTACAAAGACTATTTTAAGGTATTATGTTTACTCACGTCCAACTGAGCCGCCTCTCCGCCAGTTGCCCCAGTCCCCTGTCCTGGTGTACAGTACGGCGTGGACGTCATTGGGGTGGAAAATGGTGTCGAGGTTGTTGACGAAGATCTCTCGTTGGCGATAGGGGTGCCTCTTGTGACCTGGCTCGAAGATCCTGCTTGGGGTACTTCCGGTCCGACCTGTGGGGCTGGAGGGACGCCTGACACCAGGCCCAAACCTTGCAAAAGTCTGTTCATGCTGACAGAGCGTGAGAATAATAAAGCGAGAATATGTCTAATAATGAAGCGATTTGAACACAAGTGAACGATAAACGCGACGCAGCTGTCAAGGCAACTTTGTTTTATACTCGGCCATTGGACCAATCAGGGCAACAAGCCCTGGGACAATGGGGGTGGTCAGTAGCCAGCAGCTGAGATTTGATGTTGTCTCGTGCGGATCAAGGAAACTGACATCATCAGTCGCTTGAAACAATGGAACCCAGCCTGAAATATCGCCACGACTCTACTCTGTCGCAAAGGGTTATGTAACAACGCTCTAGCTGGCAAACACACACAACTCGTTCAACAAGAAATATCCTGAATTGGGGACAACCTCTGGTGTTTTTCCCTGAAATTAACAGCAGCAGTTGACGTTGGAAGTGTAAACTACTTCCCATATAAACAATTCTGTTCGGAAAGAGTTCCTTCCGTTCCCCATATTTTTTGTAATATTACCGTGCCAGGGGCCCTTATCATACAACGTGGTGCGACCCTATATATATTGTAGTTATTTTGTGAGTTCTCTAGTACTTGTTGTGCTAGGTTTTTTGTTAATAATTTCAGTATATATTAATTTATATATATTATTTGGGATGGGGGAGCGGGAGGAACTCTTACCTAATAATCACACACGTGCACAAGCAATGTATAATCAAAGGACTTTCAGTATTGTATAGATTGTACACACACCAAATAGAGACACTCACAGAACGATTCACGGTATGAATTCAAGTATTATAATTCGTATGTAATGACACCGACTGTGTTATTTTATTTATTACCCACGCCTTACCTGCATAAAATTGACAAAATAACGTGTTTTGTTATTTGTATGGTTTCAACCCGAAAACTGGTGGTTTCATAAATAGAATTTCGTTGAGGACTAACCTTTGCAGTTGTTTTGACATGAAATGAGTAATGATACCACAGCCGTAGATGCCATGATATTATCTGTAATACCATTTATGAGACGCTGGAGTGTGTCAGAGGTTATTAACTGATTAATGAGTGAGTGAGTGAGTGAGTGAGTTGGGTTTAAAGCCGCTTTGGGCAATATTCCAGCAATATCACGGCAGGGGAAACAAGAAATCTGCATCACATATTGTACCATGTGAGGCGACCATGACGAGCGACCTCTTTAACCACTAAGCTACCCAACTGCCCCGGAGTTTTATTGGGGACAGATGCTGTTGCTGTGTATCGACCGGTAGCAGTATTAACATCACCATCAGCACCAGCAACTGTTGGTAGCAATGTCTGCAATGTAGCAACTGGCCTCATTTAAACCAGAATGTGCACTGGAATATTGTGCAAGTGTGTGAAATGTATTTGCATGTAAGTGGTGCATCTACTCATGTTATCCACATGTAGTGAGTGCGTGAGCATGATTTTACGCCGTTTTTAGCAATATTCCAGCAATATCACAGAGGGGGACACCAGAAATGGGGTTCACACATTGTACCCATATGGGGAATCGAACCCGGTCTCCGGCGTGACGAGCGAACGCTTTAACCACTAGGCTACCCACCGCCCCTTATCCACATGTAAGTATTGTTCCGAAAACATATATGTTCAATTGGGTTTGATGGTTAATATTTGCTTAACAACAAGATGTTACCTAATGACAATCTGAATATATCTTGGAAAGGACCTTAATAATTCATCAGGACAGAACATAACTGTTTCTTTCAGATCAATACGCCCTGAATATAAGTATAGAGTCACAAGTCCTGAATGGCGTAAAACTAAACTCACTCACTCACAAGTCCTGAAAGATGCTGGAATGTTTGTTGGAGACAACAGGTTAGTTTGTCAGCGCAAAACATGTACATGCTTTCCTTTTACTGATAGGAAGTGTCCCTGGTATGGTGATCTACTTTCAGTTGTCGGCGGTCTATAGCCTGTTTTTACATTGTCTTGTCATTTCTAGTTAACATGTGTTAGATTTCATCACTAGTTTTAAATGGATATTTGTGATGCACTGGTAGTTTTACTGTTCTTTGTCAACAGGTTTTAATTTCTAATTTTATTGATATATGATGTAATCATTAATCGTTCTCGTCACGATATGGCTGAAATATTGCCGATATGACGATAAATATTAACTCACTCACTCACTGATAGGAAGTACTGAACATATATTTTTACCAGCAACACAATATTTTTCCAAAACACATTTTCACACATTGTTTTGACAAGAAAGGACGCAACAGTCGACATGTTTACATTGACTGAGAATCAACAGTCACAAGCATTCTTATAAAACACCGATGTGGGTTTATTATTAACACCATTACACTTGATGCCACAAACCGAAACATGACTCTCATTAACCTATTCAGACAATGACCTACTTTTCAGCCGATCCGAATTTTCTCGTCTGACAATGAAAATTAACAAACAACTATGGTTACACTGAATTAACATCACAAACAACTATGGTTACATTGAAATCCAATTCCTTGTGTCATAAGAAAATGGTATTTACAGCTGCATTTTAAATTGTAAACTTTAATAAGATCGTATTTTTATATTTCATGGCGAGGTGTAGGCAGTATGACCTTAACTAAGACGTCACAGACTGCCCCAGTTTGATGAGGTCGTAAAATGATTCACAGTGCATCTGGTTTGCTGGTTACACCTGTTATGTGTTTTGTTGCACTTATTCAGTGTAATTCTGTTACGCAAAATGTGATTGATATAATATCAAGTCCGTACCAGACCGCCAAACATTTCTAGCGGCAGAGCCTCGTTTTGAGATGTCCACGATTTCCAGGTTTCTGTTTGTCAGAGCTCGCTGTACGACAGAGCACGCTGCACGACGTGTTTGCAAGGATTAGATGGAGCGTAGTGTTGCAATATACAAGTGCTTAGATGTATCAAATAAAACTGATTAATATTTATGTATCCAGTTAAGTGAATTAGTCTCAAAATTCTGGACTGGTTAGTGTACTAAGCTGAGCAATAGGACGGAACCAAGTCAACCGGCAATGAGACTGTTGTGTAATCAATGTTTTGACTTGCACACGGGACCCGCGAAGATCCGGGTTAGACTTGATCTTCAGCAACCCATGCTTGTCGTAAGAGGCGACTAACGGGATCGGGTGGTTACACTCGCTGATTTGGTTGACACATGTCATCGTATCCCACTTGCGTAGATCGATGCTCATGCTGTTGATCACTGGATTGTCTGGTCCAGACTCGATTATTTACAGACCGCCGCCATATAGCTGGAATATTGCTGAGTGCGGCGTTAAACAACAAACCAACCAATACACAGAACTCACTGTGGGTGTTGCCACTCAAATATACGGCGGCATTGGTTTCCACCGGCAATCAAAATATCGTGTGTTCTCATGACATTAGCAGCAGCTCTCATATCCCATTCGGGAAACTGTCAGCAGGGGAAGCTGTCCAGCAGAAATCCACGCATCTGGGTCGTGTTCTATCCGCATCCGCTCTTAATGGTGTAGTAGGTAGTCTAGTCGTTAAAGCGTTCGCTCGTCACACCGAAAACCCTGGTTCGTTTCCCACAAGGAGACAATGTGTGAAACCCATTTCTGGTGTCTACAGCGGTGATATGTTTGGAATAAAAGCGGCCTAAAACCATACTCGCTCTCGCACTCGATAAATTGACTGTTCAAGACAATCGTTATTTAATGTGACATTGCCTAAATTATCATGTGGTAGATAAGATCAGTATACTTTGACACTCAGCTCACCACACTTATCATACGAGCCTATTCAACTGAAGATGGGGTGAGGCAGTGACGGAGTTAGTGTATTAATAACTCGTGCTGATTCTATTAAACACTGGTTTATCGGGACCAGTTTTATTTAAGCGTCGTCGAATAACGCATTTTGTCCACTTTACTTACATTTTCCATACCAGAAAGAAGCTACATTGGATAACTGAAAATGCCGATTTCCGGAGATGACCATGACGGCCTTAACTACACTTAACGGGCTGTGGCTCGACGGTCTTTTCGACAGTGTTCCAGGGTTACACACAGGACACAGAAAGAAATAATGTGGGTACATTTATATATGTTTAATGTAGGTACAATTATATAAGATTTATTATCTTTTCAGATAGCACCACAAGAACAAGATAGGTCATTAGATATACAACGATTAACTTTGTGTGAGTTCATAAGAGACATGTATGGAACCGGCCGAACTGTTCCTGCGGATGTCACAAGTGTGAAGCATACAAAGATAAGAATAAACATATGTTTTCATTCCCATGGCTATATTCTGGAAAGCATTACGAATAGATAGAGATATTTGACAAGTGAATTGGTCAAGTGAAATTGGCTGAACCTTTTATACATGATTTTGAGTGGACGGATACATGAAAGAAGAATGCCTGCTGAATGGGAGAATGTTTGTATTATGCTATAAGTGCTGAGTGACATCTCTTGTGGAGCGACGTGCAGAGAGACAATGTGCAACTAGGCTCGTATGATAAGTGTGGTGAGCTGAGTGTCAAAGTATACTGATCTTATCTACTACAAAGATAAGAATAAACATATGTTTTCATTCCCATGGCTATATTCTGGAAAGCATTACGAATAGATAGAGATATTTGAGCGCTTCTAAAAATATAAAAATTCTGGATTTAATCTATAATTTTATCAGAAAAGACACAAAGCGTCAAACTTTTCAATAGCAAAATAACTTGAATTTCTGTAAGAAAATACATCAGCAATTAATCTGCACATCCTCCTCTGTTCCACTAACGCTTTAGGCACGCCTACCTGTAGCTGAGCAATTACATATCATTTCATATATATGTGTTCGTTCGTAAGGCGCACATTATCTTCTGTTCCACTAACTCTGTTCTTTTCATATAGCCGCACATTATCCTCTGCTCCGTACATAATCCCCTGCTCCACTAACTCTTTCAGGCACACCTAAATGTAGCTGGACAATATCCTCTGCTCCATATATGTGTTCAGCTGAGCAATTCATAGCCGCACATCATCGTCTGCTCCACTAACTCTTTAGGCACACCTAACTGTAGCTGGACAATTACATATATATGTGTTCATTTCATAGCCGCACATCATCGTCTGTTCCACTAACTGTTCAGGCACGCCTACTGTAGCTGGACAATTACATATATATGTGTTCATTTCATAGCCGCACATCATCGTCTGATCCACTAACTCTTCAGGCACACCTAAATGTAGCTGGACAATTACATATATATGTGTTCATTTCATAGCCGCACATCATCGTCTGTTCCACTAACTGTTTAGGCACGCCTACCTGTAGCTGGACAATTACATATATATGTGTTCATTTCATAGCCGCACATCATCGTCTGTTCCACTAACTGTTCAGGCACGCCTACCTGTAGCTGGACAATTACATATATATGTGTTCATTTCATAGCCGCACATCATCGTCTGTTCCACTAACTGTTCAGGCACGCCTACCTGTAGCTGGACAATTACATATATATGTGTTCATTTCATAGCCGTACATTATCCTCTGCTCCACTAACTCTTTAGGCACACCTAAATGTAGCTGGACAATTACATATATATGTGTTCATTCCAAAGGCGCACATCATCGTCTGTTCCACTAACTCTTCAGGCACTCCTAACTGTAGCTGAGCAATTACATAATTTACTGAATTATAAAAATAACTAGATTTGAAAAATTAAAGGTCACATGCAACGTAAAACACAACTTTGCAGATTCTGATACCTTTCGGTATGGACTTACAGTAACAAATTATCAAAAATGCAAATTCAACTTATAAAGTTGAAAAATAACGCGATGAAAGAAAACCCGCGAATCGGAGTTCAAACCATTCACTAAATTCATCCCAGCTGGGGTGAAAAGTGGTTTCAACAGCTGTGCTGCACTGCACTGCGCTCATGGCGCATGCGCAGTGAATAGGTTCGCGCAGCTTGGAAGTGACATTTCAAGACGAAAAACCTTCGTTGGCGGTGAATACTCGGAGTAGGCCTTGATGTGTGCTATTTTTCTAATGTTTTGTTGATATTTCACAGGCGCGAGCTTTTTATATGTTATGACAGTAGATTACCGTTTAACTGTTTATATAATTTCATTTGACTATTTCACCACACGTTCTTCTTACCGAGTCACTATCTCAGTTCGATACTTAAAAGCAACGTCATTATTTAGCATTGTCAGAATGTCTAACTGTGATATAGATATGCCTCTGTCACAGACAAAACTCAATGTCTGTTTTATTGACACCTGTGTGTCTGCCTGCCTGTCTGCTAATGACAATATGCAATACACAACTTCGATCACTGACCACATGCAATTTGAACTTAGCACCTATCAGGCTATACACCATAAACAAAACGCATTGATTTATGGCTCGTGTACTCTGTCACATAATGTCATTACACAGACAGGCAGGTGTGATACTTGTACACATGACATGTTATGATGTATGTTGATTGCAAAATGTTATACACAAAAAAATGAGCATGTATTTACAAAACCCAACATCTCTATACACACACAAAGAGCCCCGAGTGTATCGGCAAATGAACCAGCCGATGTAAGGCTTCGTTACATTTAAGTGCACGCCAACCCGCTCTGACTGGGTTCGGTATCCCAGCTGCTTCGTTTCGAGGGAAGCAAACCCAAATACAAAATATTGCACTTTTGATTTGCGATTGTACACTTATTTTTTTATTTTTTATTTTTTTTCGTAATCAGCAATTTATATTTTATGTGATGAATAAGTGATAATTGTGTTTTAATTATGTTTGTGTTTTTGGTTGCATGTGAATATACAAAATGCAGTCACAGTACGATTACAATAGCAGTCTTGAAACAAAACAGCAGTGTTAACATCAGTAAAGTCAGTGATAGAAATACTCACCTAGCTAGAAGCAACAGTGGTTAGGAGCCACCGTTTATGTGAGTGAGTGAGTTGAGTTTTACGCCGCACTCAGCAATATTCCCAATTGCGCAGATCGATGCGCATGCTGTTGATCACTGGATTGTCTGGTCCAGACTCAATTATTTACAGACCGCCGACATATAGCTGGATTATTGCTGAGTGCGGCTTAAAACTAAACTCACTCACTCACTCACATTCCTATATACTACAGTATAGTTTGCAAAAGCTTATGAATTTCTGAATTTTAACAGAAACAAAGTAAAACAATTACAACATTGTTTAATGATACGTCATAATATAAAATGAAAAGTGCTTTATGCACAGGGAGCATAGAGCTTCACCAAAACGCATAATTACATATGCGGTGGGAAGTCAGTAGCTAATGTTTTGTAAGTTTCACTCCGGATAGGTGCTACAAAGGAAGGGTGAAGAGTTCTGAGCCTTACCACAATGGTCTGCGCTGAAGGACTTGTTTGTCAGATATATTTTAACATCCCACCCTTCACATCACTGATGATGCTGGAGCGTATAAGACTCTCTCCATTGGTGTTGTAAACTGTTCTTCGGCAAAAATGAGGTCATCAGAGCCATAGTAGAGCACTCCAATCATGATGCCAACATAACTGTGCACATGTGCATTGCCCTGGTTGAACAACACACCTTTCAGGGAGTATTCAATGTCGTTATTCTCGTATAGTTGCCTTAGCTAATGCGCATGATGTTAATGGTGAGGCCTTTCGGGAGGCCAGTACGAGTCATTTTTCATAATACGGATCGGGTTATTAAGGTTCGGACATTTGTACATAAATACTGAATGACACTGAAGTCCTAGTTGCAAGATATGTTATTATCTTTGCTTTACGATTCATGACTGTAAAATTGAAAAATAAAATACGATCTGACTAAGACGTTGGAGTTGTTAAAAGTGTTGTATGAGTACAAATATACTAAGCAGCAAAAGAAACGTCAGTTTGGAATTTTCCTTCGCAGAAACGGATAACTGTAAACTCATTTAATGGTTTGATTGTATATTTCTGACACCATCTCCAACTTTACCTGAGCAAAGACATTCCTTCCCAAACTCAGAATGGAACCCAGGAAAAGGTCTAAAAAACGCAACCTGATCTCGGAGATGGAACGGTTTTCTCCATGTTTGTCATGCAACTCATGCTGCACGTGCTGTTCACAAGGACCAGCCCTATAAAATGCACCCGGAACCTGGTTGAAACATTCACATCTCAACGTCAGCAGGATGACGCGACTCACGACACCTCAGAGTGAGTGAGTGAGTGAGTTAAGATTTAAAGTCACATCAGCAATATTTCAGCCATATCGTGACTAAAACTAGTTCTAAATTTGTAATACATACATATAATATATTAAACCCTGTCAACGAAGGACAGTAAAACCACTAGATTATCACAGATTGAGTTAAAACTAGCTAACATATATCTTTAAAAGTAGAAAATTATTTCTGGACAATACAATGTAAAATTGGGCTAGAGATCGCCAACAACTGAAGGTAGATCACCATACTAGGGACCATGGGGACTTACAGTACCTTTGCTACCTGCATGGACCCTAGCTGGATTTACACCATCCCTTCAGCCATTGGCGTTTATACCGAGACGTAGCCATACATTAAAATGACAAAAATACTACGATTAAAACACCTGGTATACTTAAATTTACTTGAAATGTTTTGGGAGACACCTCAGAGGAACCAGGCGCTAGGAAGACCTGAAGCTGGCCATACTGCACAAGCCGTTGCCAATCACTTCCAGGTCAACTATCGGACCATCTACAGGCTGCAGCAACGTTTCCGGGCCACTAACACCACAAATGATCGCCCCCGTACTGGCAGACCAAGGGTGACCACAAGACGACAAGACCGCCATGTTGTGCGACAGCATGTACAGAATCCCTTCATGCAGGCATCCGAAACAGCACGCCAGACAGGGGGAACACACGGAAGACCAATCAGTACTGATACAGTACGCCGACGTCTTAACAGCAGGAACCTCCATTTCCGTAGACCTTACCGTGGACCTATCCTCACCCCTCAACATCGGTGTGAACGTCTACAGTTTCCCCTACAACACCAAAACTGGCGATACAGGCAATGCAGAACTGTTATGTTCACAGATGAGAGTCGGTACTGCGTATCAACTGCAGATGGCAGAACAAGAAAATGGCGACAACGTGGCCAGCGTTACTCAGACCAATGTGTTATTGAAAAAGACTCATGGGGAGGTGCAAGCATCATGCGGTATGGGGTGGAATAGGCCTGAATCAGAGAATGGGTCCTGTGGTGTTCCAGAACCTTGGTCCAGGGAGAGGAGGCGGCATCACAGCGGTGTTTTACATTCTTGATGTAGGGTCTTGTTCCAATGCATCAGGATTTTGTACTGGAGGATCGAACTGGCCCCACACATTCTCCATCTGGTTGAGATCTGGAATGGCTGGGCTATGAACACAATTCGCATGTTGAATTCAGGTTCCGACATGTGACATATTTTTAAGCACGTCGTGTCTGTTTACGTCATGGAATTATTTTGGACAATACTAGCCCGGAGAGTCTCACTTCAGGTGTTCTCATGTGAGACATAAATAGTTTGGTATCTGGCACTTTGTTTCTTTTCTTTGTCTTCACTCGGACCATCGCAAAAGATACACAGCTTTCTTTATGCCTTATATAACCGACTATGTTTCGACCTTCCATAGCATACGACAAGCCACCGTCAGATTCCGAAGTATCGAGCAGACAACTCTATCTTGTTAATGACTATTATCAAGTGTCCCTCTTCATACATATTCAATAGCTTTCTTTTTGAGAAAAAGACTTTCGTAATATTTTACAGCAATTTGGCACTTTTGTGTTACATTCGTAGAACTTAAAAGTTCTCTCAATATATTACAAACCACCTGCCAGCTAAATTGATTATAAACAGAAAAACGTCTTATGTCCCTTTAAATATGCCTTTCAAATTCTGAAAAGGCAAATGTGTGTTGTGTTGAAAATCTTTCAAACTGACATTTTGTAGTGAGTTTCTTCATCGATTGCCCGTCACGTGCAGATGAGAATGCTTAAGATAAGCTCTGAGTGCCATTTTCCAAGAAACCAGGAACGTGTGTCTTTTTTCATGTATGGAGTCAGTGGAAGCGCCTCATACATAAAGATATAGAGAACCTCCGTCTTGTGTGAGAAGTATTATATCAATGCATTTCAATCTACTTGCGAACAGAATCAATCATGGATAAGTTGCAAATTAGGCCACCAAACATACCGGAGCACCTGCTATATGTAGACAGAAATAGACTGACATATGTGTAGATATTGGGAAAAGGTAAAACATGAGAATCTAGACTGATGAGCCTATGCCCTACGTCCATTTAATCCATAGATGATAAAGATGGAATTAATCAAACTATTTTCTATTGTGTTTTACTTTTTCCCCATAACTGTGTAAAGGGTGTCTGCTTGAAGCGACGCGTGTTGCAATATTTAACCATCACTAGTCCTCGCCGATGTGAAGATTTATCTTTGCTTTTCATCTTAACGTTATTAAGGCATATTTCATGCATAAAACCTCTGTGTTGAAAGTGTCCGCGATGGCACAGTATCTTATGCGGTAGTGTTGCTTGGCAATATCGTATCTATCAAAACCAGGCAATATTATTTTTTCTCTATATATTGATATTGATTTCCACAGAACACGGACAAAATGTGTGTAATGCAATTACTTACAGCAACATCCTTTCAAGCTGTAGTTCTCTTGTCTCTCCTGTCTTCGTGTAATAATTGGATTACATTTTCGAGCTCTTGTGCTTTAAGAAGGACACACATTTCCGTGGGCAAATCAGCAAATGCATGTCTCTCACTGAGGGGCTTTATGTGGAAGTTACGTAAGGTTACAAAGGGGTTATTCAGTGTGTGTTTTGTACACGTGATTGGGTTATTCAGATGTCTTGCAGTCAGGGGTAATGATTTCAAGCACATACTCTTCATAAAAAGTAGGGGAACCTGAACGTTCAGTTTGGATAGGAAGTATAAGCGTTAACAAACGTTTCAAAGACAGACCTCTTATGAACGCACCACCATTTCTCTTTATCACCAGCACTAAACACAACGCATGAGATGCACGTGCCCAACACAGTAGCCCCATACACGTGCATGGGGTGTCTTTCTTGATTTTAACGGTTTTCAGAAAGGTCGAAAAATCACCGTAGACTATTAGTTTTGACAATCATCTTGCATCACACAGTTGTTAGAGTTTGTTTTTAGCCGGTATTTTTTGTTTGAAAATGAAAATCGTACACATGCAAATTTCACGTCGTAAACCAATCATATTTCAAGAGCGATTAATGTACAAACAACTATGGTCATAAGGAAGTGCAAGTGTATGAATATAAGACGAGTATATGGATGGCAACTTCTTCTTTATTGTCTAACACGACGTTTCTGTGCTACTTCCTGTCCCTTCTTCAGGAGCAAGTGGTGATGTACTCTCAAAACATTCTAAACCATTATCATCACATCAACATTGAATGACTCCGATATACCTTCCTATTTTTTCAATCGTAAATTAAAAATGAAGTTCCCCTACCTTTTTGAAGAGTATATAAATGGCGAATTGGGAGACGGACCATGCAAGAGTTCTCATTTGGGCCTTACAAGGTCTAAAAACTTTTTCCAGTTATGAATTGCATGCAGGCCTACATTGACAATATTTATGCATGCGTTGCTTCAATATAATATCTGTACAGTGCAGTCACATATGGACTGATCAGTATATTGTTTAGTATTACTGCAATATGTAACAGCTCATATTACATGTTCTGGGAGATATGCGGGAACGGACGTGATTCCAAACACGCACGTCAAAAGGATAAACGAAGCGGTCATGTTACTTCCGGCCTGTCTCATGTGTCACCCTGTTTCCGCAATCGAGCCATCACTCCGCGTCCTGGGCATTTCAGTTGGCTCCGCAGGATTGTACGATCAGTTACGACGCGGAATCAATTAGGACAGCCGTGACAACTGCTACCATTCAGAAGGCCGCGTTTTAATGCCGAGTTATGAGTTAGTTATTTACTGATGGATTAACATCAGAGCTAAAGCTAACAAAACGTAATCCATTTGGTGTTTATCCGCTTTTACCTACAATTATGCGTTTTGTCTATATTAGTGAGGATTTGTCAAGGAACGTCATTATCCTGGCTTGCTTACAAAGGAAAGAAGTCGGATTGTATTTTTTGTAAAGTTTGCAGGGCATTCATTTTAAAGCATAAACTCCTGGAAGCTTTTGTGAAGTTTTCAATTGTTCGAACAGTTATGACATGTGTGCAAAACGGATGAAACGTAGATGGTAAAGAAACCACACAGTCGAGCCAAATCTACACTGCGCCATGTCTATCTCACAAACAAAACCTGCAAACATAGTGCTCTCGTACTATGACGAAAAGGTAGATTGTAGTTGAAATGTGCGCTTTCGTGTTTCATGGATCTGTCGAGCATGGTCATAGAATAAAGTCCAGCCAGTCTGCAAGATCTTCCCAGGAGACTGATCAGCGGTAACGTGGTCACACGCCTAATAGTCGCAGCATCTGTTGCCGACGACCAGCTGGAGTTGTTGCCCTCAGCGTTGGCCGTTGGCCAAACAGACAATGGTGGGCAATCTGTTACGAGGTAATTTCCGAGTTGAAATGCAAAGGTGAGTCCGGAAATTGATTCGTATAGAACCTAAATAACTGACCACGAAATAAACTCACGAGTTAAATGAGTTACCAACAAATGCATGATACATACAGATTTTGTTTCACATACAGATTGTGTTTCACAGTCACAATAGGCAATAACATTGGTCAATAACAGTTTCTACTATTTTAAGTACCCTTGATGATCCACGATAAAACTGATCTTCAGTAACTCATTCTTGTCGTAAAAGGCAACTAGGTAATGGTGGCAAGGCTTACTGATGGTGATGCAGTCCTGTTATCCGTTATGCGTAGACTTGGTTGCCACATGTCATCAGTTCCCAATTGGGCAGATCGATGCTCATGCTGTTGATCACTGGATTGTCTGGACCAGACTCGATTATTCACAGACCGTCGTCATATAGCCGGAATATTGCTAATTGCGGTTTAAACAACAAACAAAATTAATTATATATTATGTCAGTGCAATTACGAAGTTCCACGTTTTTACACTGTCGATGTCTTTTAACACAATGCGACTGTCTTTCTTGAATCCGGAGAAGTGGTTTTCAGCTGTCAGGAATTCGGTATTTTCAAACTGGTATCCAATCTGTCTCGCCAAGTAGGTAACAGTCGCAATACGTCGCGAATGGCTCCGAATACAGGTACAGTCAGTACTTTGAGAATTTCCATCCCGAAACTCGCCCCAACGCTCATGCCGGTTATGTGTATTACTGATGAGTCAAACTTTATACCCCTTTAACATCGACACATTTGCATATGTGAGTAAATGTACACACGTAAGTACATGCAAATGTACCTCAAGAGGTAGTGCAAAAGTATTTTTGCATATATGTAAATTTGCACCCTATGGACATGTATCCATGTAAACGCAACACGGTTTTGCATACCTATATAAATGTGAAAGAAATAGATAATTATTCCGAATGAGTTCTCAAATGTCATCCTGGCTCGACTCAACCTGAAGCTGAAATCTTTCTGTGAAGGTGATAAGGTTGAGTGGTTGGTATATGGTTTTAACAACCATGTCTTCA